CAAGAGAATCACTTAAGCCCAAGAGTTTGAGGTTGCTGTGAGCTGTGATATCACAGCACTTTACCAAGGGCAACACAGTGAGACTCTGTCTCAAAAAAAAAAATAAAAACTTCTAAGCAAGGACCATGCCAACATCTATTCTAAATAATAATCAGTATACCTTAGTGACCTGTTACAATGTTCCAGTTCAAAAGCTAATCTCCTGGCGGCGCCTGTGGCTCAAGGAGTAGGACGCTGGCCCCATATGCTGGAGGTGGTGGGCTCAAACCCAGCCCCAGCCAAAAACTGCAAAAAAAAAAAAAAAAAAGCTAATCTCCTAGGCTTGATGCCTGTAGCACAGTGGTTATGGCTCCAGCCACATACACCCAGGCTGGTAGGTTTGATCCCAGTCTGAGCCTACTAAACAATAACAACTGCAACAAAAAAAATAGCTGGGCATAGTGGCAGGCGCCTGTAGTCTCAGCTACTTGGGAGGCTAAGGCAAGAGAATTGCTTGAGCCCAAGAGTTTAAGGTTGCTGTGAACTGTGACGCCACATCACTCTACCAAGGGCCACATACTGAAACTATGTCCCAGAAAACAAAATAAAAAAAACAAAAGTTAATCTCCTAAATCAATCCACCTAAACTACTCAAGATAGGCATCTTTAGGGTGGGAGCTAAATTTACAAAACAGTAAGAATGGGAGATTGGGGTGAAGGTCAGGCAGGACCTAAACCGACCAGACCAACTGTGTCATGTCTGCCCTAGCCTGCCTGCCTGACTCCATCTTATTCTCACTATATGTGCTTTCAGGTGTACCTGTGAGTAACCATTGCACTCCAGCCTGGGCAGCATAGCAAAACTCTGTCTCTGAAAAAAGAAAGAGGAAGAGAATTGAATTTTATCAAATGCTGTGTTTTCTTCTTTCCTTTTTTTTTGAGACAGAGTCTCACTATGTTACCCTCGGTAGAGTGCTGTGGCGTCACAGCTCACAGCAACCCCAAATTCTTGGGCTTAAGCGATTCTCTTGCCTCAGCCTCCAAAGTAGCTGGGACTCCAGGCGCCCACCACAACGCCTGGCTATATTTTTTTTTTGAGGAACATGAAACAAAGTGTTATTTGTTCATTTCTTGCATTTGAAGTACTCTTCGATGACATCCTTCGCCTGAGATTCTTTGCCATAATCCTTGACTACTACACAACTGCAGCCAACCACTTTACAGGGTTTCCCCTCTCTGTCAATTTTACAAATGCCTACCCATTCCCCTCGTTTCATGTTGTCATCAAACTTAATTAGGTTGATTTGGTGTTCAGCACAAAGGGCCTCCACCAACTTGACATACATAGGCTCATCATAGTTGGATGGGCTTGGCGCTTGTCTAAGGCTTTGGCAGCTTCGTGGATTCCACGTGCAAGGCCATCATGGATGAGGGCAATCTTCAGCACCTCTTGTAAAGCAGTGTTAACGTCCATTACACCTCTAGCAGCAATGCCTTCCTCGGCCGTGGTGGGGGGTGACGGGTAAAATTGAATCTTGAACTCACTTAAGCCTCCGACTTCATGTCGGCAGCAGCAGGGAAAGAGGAACCTCCTGGCTATTTTTTTGTTATAGTTGTCATTGTTGTTTAGCAAGCTTGGCTGGGTTCGAACCCACCAGCCCTGGTGTATGTGGCTGGCACCATAACCACTGTGCTATGGGCACCGAGCCTTTTTTTGTTTGTTTTTGTTTTGTTTTTGAGACAGTCTCACTTTGTCACCCTTGGTAGAGTGCCGCGGAGTCACAGCTCATAGCAACCTCAAATTCTTGGGCTCAAGCGATTCTCTTGCCTCAGCCTCCCAAGTAGGTGGGACTATAGGAGCCTGCCACAATGCCTGGCTATTTTTGTTGTTGTTTTAGTTGTCATTGTTTGGCAGGCCCAGGCTCAGTTCAAACCCGCCAGCTCTGGTGTATGTGGCTAGCATTCTAGCCGCTGAGCTAAAGGGGCTGAGCCTTCTTTTTTTTTTTAAGACAGAGTCTCAAGCTGTCACCCTGGGTAGAGTGCTGTGGCATCACAGTTCACAGCAACCTCAAACTCTTGAGTTTAAGCAATTCTCTTGCCTCTGCCTCCCAAGTAGCTGGGACTACAGGTGCCCACCACAACGCTGGGCTATTTTTTTTTTTTTTTGCAGTTTTTTGTTTGGAGCTGCGTTTGAACCTGCCACCCTCAGAATATGAGGCCAGCGCCCTACTCCTTGAGCCACAGGCACCGCCCAGGCCAGGCTATTTTTTTGAGATGGGGTCTCACTCTTGCTCAGGCTGGTCTCTAACCTGTGAGCTCAGGCAATCCTCCCCTCTCAGCCTTGCAACTGCTGGGATTACAGGCGTGAGCCACTGCACCTGGCTTCTTTCTTCTCTTTTATTTATTTATTTATTTATTTATTTATTTTGTAGAGACAGAGTTTCACTTTATCACCCTTGGTAGAGTGCCATGGCATCACATAGCTCACAACAACCTCCAACTCCTGGGCTTAGATGATTCTCTTGCCTCAGCCTCCCTGAGTAGCTGGGACTACAGGCACCCACCACAACACCCGGCTATTTTTTTGTTGCAGTTTGGCCGGGGCTGTAGTCATACCCACTGAGCCACAGGCGTGGCCCCTTTCCTTATGTTTTATTTTGATAAAATATACATGTAAAATTTACCACTTTAGGGCTGTGCCTGTATAAATAGCCAGGCTGTGTGGTAGGTGCCTGTAGTCCCAGCTACTTGGGAGACTGAGATGGAAGGATCACTTGAGCCCAAGAGTTGGCGTTTGCTGTGAGCTATGATGCCATTGCACTCTACTAGGGGTGCCAAAGTGAGACTCTGTCTCAAAAAAGAAAAAGAAAAGAAAAGAGAAAGGTTGAATTCATAGAAGCAGAGAGCAGGCCGGGCGTGGCTCACGTCTATAATCCTAGCACTCTGGGAGGCCGAGGCAGGTAAATTGCTTGAGCTCACAAGTTCAAGATCAGCCTGAACAAAAGCGAGACCCCCTTCTCTACTAAAAGTAGAAAAACGGAGGCACAAGGATTGCTTGAGCCCAAGAGTTGAGGTTGCTGTGAACTGTGACACCACGGCACTCTACCCAGGATGACATAGTGAGACTCTGTCTAAAAAAAAAAAAAAGAAGCAGAGAGCAGAACAATGTTCCCGGGGATTGGGGTTTATGTGAAGATAGGATCATAGGGAGAGGAGGATGGGGTGATGTTGCTTAAAGGATACAAAATTTCAGTTAAATAGGGGGCACAAGTCCAAGAGATTTACTGTACACGGTGATGACTATAGTTAATAACAATGTATTCTTTCTTTTTTTTTTTTTTTGAGACAGAGCCTCAAGCTATCCACCTGGGTAGAGTGCTATGGCATCACAGCTCACAGCAACCTCCAA